TTATGTACAGCAATATTATAACATTTCTTAATGATTTAGGTTTCTTTCAGTTCACATTAGTATTATTATATTTAGGGGAAGTGCTAAACCCACAGGGGTCATACAGCTCCTAGGAAACTGGAGGAACTCAGGTTCAATCCAAGGAATAGTAGGATGCTCAATTACTCAGATGAAGAGCACCTCACCAGCATAAACAAACCTTTCTTAAGGCATCTCAGATGGAGAGAGAGAGAGAGAGAGAGAGAGTGAGTCCTTCACTGGCTGCTGGGCACCTGCCATAATGGGCTTGGTCCAAGGAAAGGGATGACAGGTCCAATTCTTTACATCAGGAGCTTGTCACTGGCATCAAAGGAACCTTCTGCAGACAGTCTATATTTCATAACTTCCACCAGAGGGTTAATAATGTAAAAGTATTATACAGTATCTTTCACTCAAGTTATTTCCATTTTCTACTTACATTCTAGTTTTGAAATAACTTTTTTTCCTTGACTTATGAAATTTGAAACACTTGTGTATCTTCATTGCTGAAACTTTTTACCTTCATAACAGGCTTCTTCAGTCAAATACAGATGAATGCAGCTCTGGAAGCAGTAGTAACAGTATTAATGTGATCAGTCCACATTATTCTTCTTTCTTCTGAATCTGGGTCAAATTTAGTGGATGATGGCCGACAATACTTAAACCTAAAAGATGGTTAATAGTTATTATTTCAATTTACACTAATGGGGGTCTTTTAATATTTTTACCAGCTCCTTGTGTGTGTACTATAAATTATAAAACAAATGCAAAACCCTTATGAGTCATACAGTATTGCATTGTAAGGGGTGTCACACAAAGGGTTAGAGAATTATTATTATTATCATCACAGAGAAGTGCTAAACCCGTAGGATTATACAGTGCATGTGGGGGGATGGAAGGTATTCAGGCTCAGTTCAGGGAACTGGAGCACAGATCCAATTCCCTAGATCAAGAGCCCCTCACCAGCATCAAGGAACCTCCCATGAGGCGAAGGGTTAGAGAAGTGAAAGGTTAGTGCGAGAAATAAAAATCATCGTGGACAAATTCTGAGCTTTTCTGACAATTTATGTAAATGTTTTTGCATGTAGATTGCTGCCATAGTGATATATGCAAGACAGTGCTGACTTTTCCTACAGGCTATGTACACAACAAATATTAAGAGTCCTGTATTTTTTTTTTTTTTCAACAAGTCGGCCATCTCCCACTGAGGCAGGGTGACCCAAAAAGAAAGAAAATCCCCCAAAATAAAATACTTTCATCATTCAACACTTTCACCTCACTCACACATAATCACTGTTTTTGCAGAGGTGCCCAGAATACAACAGTTTAGAAGTAGATATGTATAAAAATACACAATATATCCCTCCAAACTGCCTTAAATCTCCACTCTCTGGAGAGGCGTAGAATGAGGGGAGATATCATTGAAGTGTATAAGTGGATGACGGGCATAAACAAGGGAGACATTAATAAAGTACTGAGGGTGTCAAACCAGGTAAGAACCAGGAATAATGGATTTAAGTTGGATAAATTTAGATTTAGAAAGGACGTAGGTAAGTACTGGTTTTCTAACAGAGTTGTAGATGCGTGGAACAGTCTTCCCAGTGGGGTGATAGAGGCTAGGACCTTGGGTAGCTTTAAGAAGAGACTGGACAAATATATGAGTGGGGGGGGCTGGGTTTGATTGGTGTCATGGGGTACGGGAGTTATTTCTTGAGTAGCTTTAGGTAGATGTCGTTTTGATAAGGACCTGCCTCGTATGGGCCAGTAGGCCTTCTGCAGTGTTCCTACATTCTTATGTTCTTATATCCCAAACCCCTCCTTTAGAGTGCAGGCATTGTACTTCACATTTCCAGGACTCAAGTCCGGTTATATAAAATAACCGGTTTCCCTGAATCCCTTCACTAAATATTACCCTGCTCACACTCCAACAGCTTGTCAGATTCCAAATACCATTCGTCTCCATTCACTCCTATCTAACACACTCACGCACACTTGCTGGAAGCCCAAACCCCTCGCCCACACCTCCTTTACCCCCTCCCTCCAACCTTTTCGAGGACGACCCCTACCCTGCCTTCCTTCCCCTACAGATTTATACGTTCTCCATGTCATTCTACTTTGATCCATTCTCTCTAAATGACCAAACCACCTCAACAAACCCTCTTCAGCCCTCTGACTAATACTTTTATTAACTCCACACCTCCTAATTTCCACACTCCGAATTTTCTGCATAATATTTACACCACACATTGCCCTTAGACAGGACATCACCACTGCCTCCAACCACTCCTCGCTACAGCATTTACAACCAAGCTTCACACCCATATAAGAATGTTGGTACTGCTATACTTTCATACATTCCCCTCTTTGCCTCCATAGATAAAATTTTTTGCCTCCACATATACCTCAATGCACAAAATAGTATTTCCTCAGTAGAATAGTAATTTAAACACACAAACTTAATGCTTTTATTTATTATACACTATTATTTATGGTCTTACCAGTATGCTTGACACATTCCAGAAATACTTTACAAATTCTTTCTTTCTTTCAACACACCAGCTGTATCCCACAGAGGCGAGGTGGCCCAAAAGGAACAAAAGTTTCTCCTTTCACATTTAGTAATATATACAGGAGAAGGGGTTACTAGCCCCTTGCTCCCGGCATTTTAGCCACCTCTTACGACACGCATGGCTTACGGAGGAAGAATTCTGTTCCGCTTCCCCATGGAGAACTTAACGAATTACAGTGGACCCTCGACTAACGCTATTAATCCGTTCCTGAGAGCTCATCGTTAGTCAAAATAATCGTTAGTCAAGTTAATTTTCCCCATAAGAAATAGTGGAAATCAAATTAATCCGTGCAAGACACCCAAAAGTATTGAAAAAAAAAATGTTAACACATGAAATATTAATTTTAATACACACAAACTGAAGAAGACATGCACAGTTACATGACACTTACCTTTATTGAAGATCTGGTGATGATTGATGGGATGGGAAGAGGGGAGTGTGTTGATGGTCTTAGTGTTTAGAAGGGGAATCCCCTTCCATTAGGACTTGAGGTGGCAAGTCCTTTTTCGGGGTTACTTCCCTTCTTCTTTTAATGCCACTAGGACCAGCTTGAGTCACTGGACCTCTGTCGCACAACATATCTGCCCATAGAGGCCTGTACCTCCCGTTCCTTTATGACATTCCTAAAGTGTTTCACAACATTGTCAGTGTCACCATTAAACACTTGTTCAGGTTTCAGTCCTTCACTATGTACTCCTTGAATTCCTGCACATATTTTTCAGCTGCTTTTTGGTCCAAACTGGCAGCCTCACCATGCCTTATCACACTATGTATGCCACTACGATTCTTAAATCTCTCAAACCAACCTTTGCTGGCCTTAAATTCACTCACATCACCACTAGTTGCTGGCATTTTTCTAATTAAATCGTCATGCAACTTCCTAGCCTTTTCACATATGATCGCTTGAGAGATGCTATCTCCTGCTATCTGTTTTTCGTTTATCCATACCAATAACAGTCTCTCAACATCTTCTATCACTTGCGATCTCAGTTTCGAAAACACAGTTGCACCTTTGGCAAGAACAGCTTCCTTGATTGCCGTTTTCTTGGCCACAATAGTAGCGATGGTTGATTGGGGTTTTGTGTACAGCCTGGCCAGCTCGGAGACACGCACTCCACTTTCATACTTAGCAATGATCTCTTTCTTCATATCCATAGCAATTTTCACCCTTTTTGGTGTAGGGTTGGCACTAGAAGCTTTCTTGGGGCCCATGGTGACTTATTTTGCAGGTGCAATCACTAAAAAGGCTGTGATAATAAGAAATGTTCCGATTGTATGCTTGGAAGCGACCGCGGTGGCTGGCTGGCTTGTAAACACTGGCCAGAAGTGGACGCGTCTCAGATGGAACGAACAGTGTTGGTCGAGTATTTTAGCGCTAATCGAGGCAAAATTTTTGCGATAAAATGTATCGCTAGTCAGATTCATCGTTAATCGATGTCATCGCTGGTCGAGGGTCCACTGTATAATGAATTTATGGTTCTTTCGTAATGTGCATACACTTCAAATGTTTTTCTTTCTTCCATTCCCACATACATATCCCTGTTTCCAAGTCTTTTGCTTTATTATAAAACTTCATATGTAGAAACTTTATAAACTTAAATTTTATATATTCATACATTGTACTTAATTTAAAAAGTGTTTTAAACAAATTTCTGGACTATTTTGCTGTAATAGCTACCCACCTTCACACCCATTGGCAACAACGTTGGTCAACTCTGCTCGGTAACAAACTTCATTCTATTAAACCGAGCATAGGTTACTGGCCGTCTTCTTGTCATCAGTGCCTAGGTTGGGAGACTACTCTCTTCCGCCTTCGCATTGGCCACACTCATCTTACTCACGGGTATCTCATGGAGAGGCACCCTGTTCCTCTCTGTGAGCAGTGTCAAGTTCCAGTATCGATTAGCCACATTCTGTTAGACTGCCCTCTCTATCAACGAGCACGCAGAATTTACCTCCGTCGTCGTCTCTGCTCTACTACTCTCTCTTTACCTTCCCTTCTTGCTGATGGAGTCTCCTTTAATCCTGACTCTCTCATTGATTTCTTGACAACAACTGATTTACTCCACAAACTCTGATGATGATACCTTTCGCACTCCCCTCAGCCCTTTCTACCTCAATCTCTTGCTGCCCTCTACCCTTTCACCATCCACTGCCACGCTGTTCTCCGTAACCTATTACTCATCCATCTCCCTTTTGCCACCTGATACCCTCACTTCCTTCCTGCCCTGCAGTGCTGTATAGCCCTTGTGGTTTAGCGCTTCTTTTTGATAATAATAATAATTTAAACAAATAGCACAGTATTGTACAACGTTTATAAATCATAATGGGTTTTGCGGTTCACCATCATAGTTATAAATTGTAAAGCCTGGGATAAAAATCTATAACAGTTGGTAATGAAAAACTATACAATATATATCTTGGATAAAAACATCTTTAATTGTAAAATAAAACAAATACATGATGAGCTTTTACAAACCTGTTTCTTTGGTGTAACTTTTTGTTTTTCTAACCTATACAATTTGATTTATGTTTTTTTATCTAGATCATAAGTTAAAAGTGTATGGTAACTTTCATTTTCATAGAGCATCTTTTATAAAAGTATATATTTTCTTGCATCATGGAGATCATGATTTTGACTTACTTGTGTCATTGTTTATATTGCATCTGAACTTAAACACTACATATTATAGCCAAGTTCAACTATTAAACACAAAAATAAACATTTGCAAAATCAATTTGTAATTACAGTGGAACCTCAAATATCGAACTTTGTTCGTTCCAGACGGCTGTTTGAGTGCTGTTACCGAACGAATTTATTCCCATCAGGAATAATGTAAATTAGATTGGTTCATTTCAGACCCTCAAAAATACACTTATAAAAGCACTTACAAAAATACACTTACATAATTGGTTGAGTTGGGAGCAGTTCGATATTTGAGGTTCCACTGTACCAACTTTTTTTCATTTCAGAAACACCTGGGATCAACAAATATACATTTTACAGCAAACTCAGTACTGTGAAGCTATGTGCCATTGGAATGGTTCCTAAACATGCTTCCATATGCAACAGAAAATAATTACAAACATGAGTATAGTATTTACATTCAATATTTCATAAAGGAGGGGTGGGGATATCTGCAGTCTGGAAAGGCATCTGAACTGTAGCATTGGCATGCCTCTAGCAAGACAGTCAGAGTGAATGATGGTGAAAGTGTTTCTTCTTTTTCAGGTCACCTTATCTTGGGAAGAGACAGCCAGTGTGATAAAAAAAAAAATTCACAAACCCACAAATTGCAAGTCACACCAAAGTCGTAGACCATTATGCCACCCCAGTGTTGTATGACCAACGAGGGTTTAACATTAACTGTTTAATAATAATTCATTCTACATAGAGCTTTTTAAAAATTAAAAGGACCATAATATGTAGAACTTAATATAGAAATAACAAATGGGTAAATGTTGATGTTGAAGGTCTGATCCAAGAAACTGAAGTTACCCTCTCCTTCCTTGGATCAAATTGTTTAACCCTTAAATGGTCCAAACGTATATATACGTTTTTTCAACATCTGAAAGTATGTAAAAAAATGTAATCTTCTTTTTTGTTTTACATTTGAAAACGTGTAAAAAAAAACTTTTATCGACATTTTTTTTTGTTACATTTGAAAATATGTTAAAAAAAGTAGTTCTACTTTTATAGCAATACGAATTTGAATGTCGATTTGTTTGGACCGTTTAAGGGTTAAAGTTTATTTCCCACTCCATATAAATAATAATAATACTGTAGTAATAATAGCAGAGGCGACTAAAATACTGGGAGAAGGGGGCTAGTAACCCCTTCTCCTGTATAAATTACTAAATTTAAAAAGAAAAACTTTCTTTTTCTTTTTAGGTCACCCTGCCTTGGTGGGATGTGGCCAGTGTGTTGTAAAAAATTATAATAAAAATAATATTTTTATTTTTATTAATTTTTTTTTTTTTTTTTTTCAACAAGTCGGCCGTCTCCCACCGAGGCAGGGTGACCCAAAAAAAAAAGAAAGAAAATCCCCAAAAAGAAAATACTTTCATCATCATTCAACACTTTCACCACACTCGCACATTATCACTGTTTTTGCAGAGGTGCTCAGAATACAACAGTCTAGAAGCATACACACATAAAGATACACAACATATCCCTCCAAACTGCCAATATCCCAAACCCCTCCTTTAATATTTTTAATATTCATTATAATACTGAACTTGGATAATGCAGGACAACAATAAAACTGATACTAAGATAAAAGTACATGTTTTTAAACTAATTTGAGTATGATTTCGAATCTGAAATTGGAACTGACACAGCATGCAATGAATTTATAAAAAATTAAAATAAATTTTTCATATATGCTGAGTACTGATGATGACCTAGTGATAGGTAAGCAGTATACACAAGTCAACTGTGCAATATGCTTAATATTTTAATCAACAATATCCAAAAAATACATGTGGACTTTTTCAAAATCTTCACATATTTTGAGTACTAATGATGAGTCTGTGACAATCAAACAGCATGTATATATGTCAGTTGTAAATTTAAAGGAATAGTCTCAATTTTTATATACAGAATGCTTTAAAAATACATTTTTATGCAACTAAAAATCATGACATGTTGGCTTCAGATTTGGAATCAGCATACTGTACTTTATTTAATAAAGGGCAACCATAAAACTATTTATTATATTGCAACCCTTGAAAGGAGGTGCCCTGTTGTTGACGGTTCTTGATCCAAGAAACTAGAACTTCTCTATCCCCCTTGAATCAAACTATATCACCTCCCATTCTTCAGGCACTGTATGACTTCTATGGGGTTACCACTTCCCCTTAAATAATTATGCTAAAAATTCTGAACTAGAGTACATACAAAAGACAGATCTAGATTATATATCATCATCTCCATCTTTCTGAGTTTCTGTGTTACCTTCAGACATTAAGTCGCTTTCCTCCTGAGAGGGGGATACCACTTGAACCACAGGTGAAGGTTCCCCTTCATGTTCCATCTCTTCAGACACTTCTTGGGCCTCTTCAGCTAATTCTACTGAGTCATATTTGCTAAATTGGTGAAGTGCTTTGTGCAAGACACTGAAATATAAATTACACTGATAAGCAAGAAGAAAAATATTTTTTTTTTCAACTAGTCGGCCGTCTCCCACCGAGGCAGGGTGACCCAAAAAAGAAAGAAAATCCCCAAAAAGAAAATACTTTCATCATCATTCAACACTTTCACCACATTATCACTGTTTTTGCAGAGGTGCTCAGAATACAACAGTTTAGAAGCATATACACATAAAGATGATTTAGAAAGACACGTAAGCAAACACTATGACATATTTATTAGAAAATGTTTCGGTCCTGGGACCTTGATCACTTCTAACATACAGAGGTAGAAAGACATTATATATATAGGCGGAGAGTGAGGTGTGAGTGACGCACGTGACCTGAGGAATGTCATGTTGTGATGAGGACGGGTAGACGATGAAATCACGTGACTCCTGTGTTGTTGGGTTGGTGGTGCTTAAGTATCATGTATGCCAATGTTTTTTTAAATTTTGTAGTTTCCAGTGTTGCGTTCTATAGTGTCGGTGACGGCGATTAGTGAGGCTTCTAGGCACCGTCAGCGTCTGAGGACTGGTTCGGTGAGAACGAGTTGTGCCTCATTCCAGTTCATCAAATGCCCCGTGGAGTCTCTATGGAGGACACAGGCGTACCTTACATCGTCTCTGTTAGAGGCATTTCGATGCTCATTCAGACGGACTGCAAGATCTCTGCCTGTCTCGCCTACATATTTCTTGGGATAGAACCCACAGGGGATAGTGTAGACACCTGCTGTAGAAGTTAGAGGTGTGGGGCTGTGTTTCGTAGTGAGGTCTTTGATAGATGATGTGTTTATGGTGGAAACGTTGATGTTACTCATAGCAAGTGCCCGGCGAGTATTCGTGGCAACATCACCACATGGGAGTACTATGAACTGCTTACGTGTCTTTCTAAATTAACTTGTCGGTATTTATTACCAAGGTTTATACCACATATAAAGATACACAACATAACCCTCATATGGGTTATACAGTTCTTCCACAAGCCATGAGATTCTTTACCACCAAGGTCACTATAGACAGTTCCCTTTTGTAGCAACAAAAATTCTGACAACCAAAGAAAAAAATGGCTATATTTTCAAAGCATAAGATTGGTAAATCAAAAATACATTAATACTAGAGAGGTGGTAACAGCACTGTAAAAAGAAAAAAAATTAAATTTTAAAATACTCAACTAGTACATTTTTTAACTATTTTAATACAATATACTAGGCACTATAGAGGTAGCAAGAAAAATTGCTCTGATATAACTGTAATCTTTATTATGTTCTATATCCTACTAGTCATTTATGTTGACAAAATCGGTCAGTAAACCTGACTGACTTTGCCAACATCAATGGTATGGCTCATTTATATGTATTTTAGCTTTGTTATACAAATAAAAAACAATGGAATGGTGCATACTGCAATTTAAAATGAAACAATGATAAATTAACTAATTTTAGCTCACCTAATGATAATGACAGGAAGAATGAGAAACCCAGCGGCCATCATAAATGTAAATCCTCGGAAGATGAGTCTCGTTGCAGGATACACACTGTTGAACACTCCTGAAGCAATCAGTGTGCATACATTTTCCAGCAGAGCTACACAAGCAAATAATTTGCCTGCAAAATAAAGAAAAAGTGCAAAAACTGAAAATACACATACTGTATAAAGTATTTAAATTTATATTTTTTGTTATAACTTACATGTTATCAATGTAAGGTTATGTAGAATATACTAATACATGTACATAAAATACAGCTCAATCATTGCTGAAGTTTGTTTTAACCCCTTCAGGGTCCAAGGCCAAAATCTGAAGTGGTGCCCTAGTGTCCAAGAATTTTCCCCCCCAAAAATTTGTTTTTTCTTATGAAATGGTAGAGAATCTTTTTGTGAAGGTAATAAAACAAAAAGTACGAAATTTGATGGAAAATTGACGAAATTATGCTCTCGCGAATTTTGACGTGTCAGCGATATTTACGAATCGGCGATTTTGCCGACTTTGACTCCCATTTTAAGCCAATTACATCATTCCAGTCGACCAAATTCTTAGCTATTTCACTAGTATTACTTCTATTCTATCGATTGAGCACAAGAAATCGCCAAGTCAACTGTTTCAACTACAAAATAAAGTGATCGGAAATTGGTAATTTGGCCAATTTAACACAAAGTTCAAAATATTCCAATTTCGAAATAGCATCCAGAATAAACAATGTAGGCATTCCTGGCACTAAACTAACATTTCCTCTGTTCATTAGTTACATTTTCAGGCTTTACAAATAAATCCCATTTTGATTTTTTATTCACATAATGAATTTTTATTCACACCAAAAAATAGAAGATTTACTGTTATGCAATATTGTAATAATTGTATAAATATCATCACCACATTTGTGAATGTATATTAGACCCACCAGCTGGCGTGTATTAGACGTGTGAGGTCGTTTGTTTACTCTTGAACATCGGCAAAAATTTAACATTTCCGCTACTTTGAGCTCAGTTTCAAGCCATTTCCAGTGCGAAAACCAATCAAAATCATCTCTATTTCTGTAATATGTCTTCCATTCTATCAAATGAGACCAAGAAATTGCAAATACAACTATAAAAAACATATGAAAAAACACTGCAAAGTTGCTGTTTTAATCGAAAATCTTGGTTTCAGTTTTTTTTCTCTCATTATACACAGTGTGATGCAGGATTTGTTTTATGTGGTGCACACATACCACATAGATGTATTCTCTCATATCTAGGCCCAAGTGTACCACTCACAGTTTATCAGAGTGAGCTGAGCTCATGAGGTAGATATACGGTTTGGACCCTGAACGTAAAGCCGTAGATCTACAGGACGGACCCTGAAAGGGCTAAAAACTGAAGAGGGCAGTTTACTTGTGGACCGAAGGTTCAAACTTTTTTTACAATTATGCAGAGAGAAAAATAGGCTTTGTATATTATTTCAAGGCATAGGCTGGCTTGAATTTACGATGATGTGTTAACATTTCTTAATTTTTATTTACAAATTTTAGGCTTTATGCTTCACAAATACAAAGTAAGGTGGGGAAAAGGGAAGGGTCAGTCAGTTGCTTCCTCTCTCACCCCAGAGGCTAAAGTCCTGAACTGGAAACCTTAAAAATAGCTTTCAAACACAGGTGACCCTTGTTTTATGCTGTAGTTTTATTCCTGGCCCTTGGTTGTTCACTCAGGCCATAAACACTTAATTATACATAATAAGAATCTTCAACTAGGTAGTAGGTTGGTAAACACCACCCAGGGAGGTACTACCGTCCTGCCAAGTGAGTGTAAAATGGAAACCTGTAATTGTTTTACATGATGGTAGGATTGCTGGTGTCTTTTTTCTGTCTCATAAACATGCAAGATTTCAGGTACGTCTTGCTACTTCTACTTACACTTAGGTCACACTACACACACAAGTACAAGCATATATATACACACCCCTCTGGGTTTTCTATTTTCTTTCTAGTTCTTGTTCTTGTTTATTTCCTCTTATCTCCATGGGAAGTGGAACAGAATTCTTCCTCCCTAAGCCATGCGTGTTGTAAGAGGCGACTAAAATGCCGGGAGCAAGGGGCTAGTAACCCCTTCTGCTGTATATATTACTAAATTTAAAAGGAGAAACTTTCGTTTTTCCTTTTGGGCCACATACGGCTGGTACGTTGAAAGAAGTTGAAAGAAGAATCTTCAAATGCTGGGAGCAAGGGGCTAGTAACCCCTTCTCCTGTATAAATTACTAAATTAAAAAATAAAAAGTTTCATTTTTTTAGGTCACCCTGCCTTGGTGGGATATGGCCGTATTGCTGGAAAAAAAAATCGTCAATGCTTAATTATACATAATAAAAATATTCAGTACAGTTTGCAAACCGCATGACTTCATACAGGGACCAAATAACACATATATGCAACTACCAATAAAAATAGGACAATTCACAACATTCATTAGGCCAAAACTGGAACATGCAGTGGTTGTATAGAGTCTGTTATTTAACAAAAATGGGTAATATTATCATTATATTCACAGGTCAATGCTAAACCCATAAGGTTCAACAGCATCTGGGAAATGGGAAGTAAATTTAATCAGAGGAAGATGAGGATAGATCCAATTCCTTGAATCAAGGAATCAATATCAAGGCACCCCTGATAGCATAAAAAGAATGGCTCCCAGATCCAAGACTCAATATACAGTAGTACCTTGACTTACAAGTTTAATTTGTTCCGTGACCAAGCTCGTAACTCAATTTGCTCGTACTGTAAGTAAAATCCATTTTCCTCATTGAAATGAGGAAAATTTTTTTGTTACGGGTTTTTAAATAAGAAAAATGTATTTATAAATAAGAAATGATTTTTGCCTTTTTTTGCCAGGTCCCAGCAATGTTTTAGAAATGCTGGAGTATATATGAAACTCCTTGAAGCACGGTGTAAGATGAGTGTCACTCCACTGCTGACAGTGCAGCAGTGGAGTGACATTTGATGATCATGCACTGCCTTGGCTTTATTTTTCACTGCTACACATAAACATGTCTGTCTATCTGCTTGTTTCTGTTTAAATGTTTCTGTCTATTTGTCTGTCTGTTTAACTCTATGTTTATCTGTCTCTGCTTATCTGTCTTTCTGTGTTTCTGCCTTCCTGTCTCTCTAGTTGTCTCTGAGAGAGATCTGCTCATGAACCAACAGGTATTACACACGATGCAGAGTCGTCACGTCTGATTTCTGAACAAGTGAATGTGTATTACTTGCCAGTCATGCTTATTATGCCTTATATCTACAAGCATAGTATAGCACTTCGTCTGGATTTTTTGGGTTATCCTAGGTAATTTACACTATGTATAACTGTATTTATGTGTACCTGTGAGATAGAGACAGAGATAGATATAGACAGACAGGAGATAGAGACAGCCAAAACAAATCAGCCAGCCAGCCAGCAGCCAGCCAGCAGCCAGTCAGCCAGCTGGCCACCCAACCAGCCAGCCTGCCAGACATGTATTACACGTTCCAGAATTTTTTCTCTTTACTTAGGGTATACGTTATAGAACATTCTGGCAGGATAACACTACCAGTGGTATCAAAATGGAAAGGATTTTGATATTTTCTCGGTATCTCCTGTGAGTGGCGGTGTATCTGAAACTCGCTTGTAACTTGGATTTTGGCTCTCAACTCAAAGCAAAAAATCAACCGAGCGACAGCTTGTAACTCGGAAAACTCCTAAGTTGGGGCACTCATAAGTCAAGTTACCACTGTACTTTTATTAACTAACAGCAGGAATAAAAAAAAACATAATAACTAATCATGTGGGTTGCCTCCCACCAAGGCAGAGTAATCCATAAAAGAAACACATGCAATGTCACATTAAACAGCTGTTTTCCCAGAAGTGCATGGACATCACAAATCAGATGACATTCTGAATAGCAACATCTCACTCATTCCTCAGAGTGCAGACACTATTTCCCAACTTCAGGACTAAGTCGTGCTAACTAGTGTCCTAGAATCCTACTGTCTGTACAATAATCTCATCCTGTAAGCTAGGCCATAATATGACTTGTTAGCACTTTGTGCCACACACTACTGCAAGCACAAATATTTTCTAACATATTACATTGCCAAATTTTGGCTTTGATTCCAATTCTCTGAAAAATCTAGACTTATGATATATGTAAAGTCTTGGCCACTTTGAAAAAATGTAGCCCTTATATAGTAATCCTGGTCAGGCATAAAAGACAACATACTGGAAGCAGTGGAGATGTCATGTGTAAGGGCAATGTGTGGTGTAAATATTATGCAGAAAATTCATAGTGTGGAAATTAAAAGAAGGTGTGGAGTTACTAAAAGTATTATTCAGAGGGCTGAAGAGGGGTTGTTGAGATAGTTTGGTCATTTACAGAGGATGGAGCAAAATAGGATGACATGGAGGGTGTATAAATCTGTAGTAGAGGGGACGAAGGGTAGGGTTGTCCTAGGAGAGGATGGAGGGAGGGGGGTAAAAGAGGTTTTGTGTGCAAGGGGCTTGGATATGCAGCAAGCATATGTGAGTGTGTTAGATAGGAGTAAATGGAGATGAATGGTTTTTGGGACCTGACAAGATGGAGTGTGAGCAGGGTAATATTTTGTGAAGGGATTCAAGGAAACCGGTTAGCTGAACTCGAGTCCTGGAGGTGGGAAGTACAATGCCTGCACTTTAAAGGAGGGGTTTGGGATATTAGCTATTTGGAATGACATCTAAACTGTCATATCTGAGCACTTCTGCAAAGACAGTGATTATGTATGAATGATGGTGAAAGTATTTCTTTCTTTACTGGGTTCAGTGGATGTGTTAAAAAAAATACAGCTTAGAAAAAATAAATCAGTCAAGCTCAGAGTCTGTTTGTAAGCTAGATTCATAGACAGGGTACCTCGATCCAAGGAACTAGAGAACTCTTCCCTCCTTGGATTAAACCTGATTGCCTACCATTTCAAAGAGCTGCATAACTCTTACAGATTTAATAATGATGCATATCATACAGTACATTGCATAATACAGCTTAGAATAGTGTACTGTATTCTTACCATGTTCATTAGGTTCTACCAACTTGGACATGGCAGATCTGAGTGTTGGAAGGATCCAGGTACTTAACATCGATAGGGCAGCACCTGTTAAAAAGAAGTAATAATAATAATAATAATAATAAATAATAATAATAATAAATAATAATAATATAATAATAATAATAATAAGAACAACTCCATGGGGCGGTAGGTAAGACACATGGGCAACAGTTAGGCAACTTTATTCCGAAATGTTTCCCTACACAGCAGGCTTCCTCAGTCGAGTACAAAAGTAGGCAGGAGCAACAGAGATGTGAAGACAATGTAATCACTCCATCACCCTTGTAGTTTGAGATTTGAGGTTGTCAGTCCCTCAGCCTGGAGAAGAGTTCTGTTCCACAGTCTGAAACAATCGGAAGGAACAAGGGACAGTGTGGAGACTTATATACTGTCGGAAGGAGATGTGCAGGGTGGTAGTAGAAAGAATGTAGTCACTGAGAGGTCACGTCTCTCTCAGATCCAACAATTCTCACTTGAAAAAGTTGTCCAAGGTGTTTTCTCTTCTGTACCAAGATGCCCTTGTGTTGCAGTGTCTGACAGAGTGAATATTAAAATGGTATATAATACCGACAGGTTGGTAGGTAAGGCACATGGGCAACAGTTAGGCAACTTTATTCCAAAACATTTCGCCTACACAGTAGGCTTCTTCAGTCGAGCACGAAAGTAGGCAGGAGCAGTAGAGATGTGAAGACAATGTAATCAGTCCATTGCCCTTGCAGTCGGAGATTTAAGGTTGTCAGTCCCTCAGCCTGGAGAGTTCTGTTCCACAGTCTGAAACAATCTGAAGGAATTAAGTTTCTTCATTTTCAGGTCACCCTGTCTCAGTGGGAGATGATCAGTGTGTTAAAAACAATAACAATAATACCTGGTAATAATACTAATATCACCCTACCATGGAGAAGAATGGCTGATGTATTAAAAAAAAATCATAAACATGGAAGGTACTGCAGACTTACTGAGAAAGACAGAAGTATCCTCCCAGGCAATTCCTAAAAGCGCCAGACCTCCTAATTTGCTTGTCAGGCCAATCAGAGCCAGGATCATATCTGGTATTTTGGAACAAAATGGTAGAATCCCCAGAAGTGTTAATGCCCCTAGGCCATACTTCAGTGAAAAATACCATGTATACTTTTCGAAAGACCATTCAATTGGCTTATCTTTGACATACAAGTAAGATATATCCATCTCGCCTGAAATGAAAAAAAAAAGGAAAAAATGTAAATACATGGTCATTATAGATGATTAAATACCATTATAACTGTACACTTTAATGCGGGTTACATGATGCTAGAGAAAGGCTCTGTCTGTCTGTCTGCCTATCTGTCTGTCTCTGTCTATCTGCCTGCCTGCCTGTCTGTCTCTGCTTATCTGTCTTTCTGTTTGCCTGGAGTATATGTATATCACACTCCTTGAAGAATCGTGTTATGGCATCTGTTATCAGCTCGGTGACATTTGATAAATGGGTGCTCGGGGAACCCTGGCTTTATTTGTTTCCACTGATACATACAAACATGTTTCTGTCTATCTGTCTGTCTATCTATCTATCTGTCTATCTTTGCCTGGAATTTTTGGGTTATCCTAGGTAATTTACACTATGTATAATAACTGTACTTATGTGTACATGTGAGACAGAGATATAGACAGACAGAGATATAGATAGACAGAGATATAGATAGACAGATATGTAGATAGACAGAGATATAGATAGCCAGAGATATAGACAGATAGAGATATAGATAGAGAAACAGCCAGAGACAGCCAAAGCAAGCCAGCCAGCCAGCCTGCCGAATACATAAGAACATAAGAAAGGAACACTACAGCAGGCCTACTGGCCCATGCAAGGCAGGTACATGTCACCCTCCCCCCAGCTTAGATCAATGACCCACCTAGTCAGGTCACACCCACTGAAGGAAGGAGCATGAAATCAGACCTAGTAGCACAAGCTAGTCAGGTCCAACTCACACCCACCCACACTCACTCATGTATTTATTTAACCTGTTTTCACTTTCCTCTTAAAATGGGAATGTTAATGCGACATGGCATCAGTGAATCCCTGGTGTTTGCCATGCTATTTGCTGTAGCTGGCACTCAATTGAACTGGAGCTCCCACAAGGTACTAAGTGCTCCCAGATTTTTTTAATAGTGCACAGACCCATTTTTTCATGTCTAGGCAACTCAAGCCTATTGTGCCAAATTTGAAGGAATGATTTACGTTTGGAGTGTTACGCATGCAAATGCAGAGCTACGTTTGGACAGTTTAAGGGTTAATTTGCATGAAACTGGCCAAATTGCCAATTTCTGACTACTTTATTGAATAGCTGAAATCGGTAAATGGGTGGTTTCTTGTACTCAATTGATAGAAAAAATGGAGTTCTAAAGAAATAGCTATGAGTTTGGTCAACTTGAACAAGAAACTGGCTGAAAATAAGGCTCAAAGTCAACAAAATCGCCGATGCATATATATCGCTGAGATCGCTAACTTCGCGGAACATAATTCCTTAAGTTTTCAATCAAATTTCATACTTTTGGTGTCATTAGCATTGGGAAAAGATTCTCTATCATTTCATAAGAAAGGATAATTTTTTTTTTCCAAAAATTTTGCGACATAGAATGAGTTTCGGAAGTGGGCTTGAGACAATCAAAGGGTTAAAAAAAATGCTGGGTCAATAAGTAGACTGCCCTCTTCCGGTTTTCTTATATACATCAGCCAAGATTGAGCTGTATTGATATATTAACATCAATATAAATAATTTTAACCCATTCTCACATTTACTCATCTCATTCCACATGTGTAAAATCAGTTTCTCTTTTTAAAATGTACGCTTTGTGATTTTCATGCACCTTCGGGAAGACAGCTATTGAAAGAATGATAGAGAATACACTGACTACCTTGGGTCACTACCTGGATAATAAATGGCCAATGCAACAAAAAAAATCTGCTTGTATGCTAAATAGTGATCCACATACTTTTCTATCATTGTAACTTAAAATGTATGTTCTGGGCAAGTTTCCATTACATCTCAGCTTTACAAAGAAAGTAGGACAACAAAATAACTGCTGTAACATGTAGTTAAGTGAACTTACCAGAAGTACAAATCATAACAACAGTGGCAGCAGCAAGTAACCACAACAGATACGTGCGCCGTTTTTCTTGCCTCTCTTTCACGACCGTTCCTGCACACTCCCTCAAGTGCTGAAAGGAACAGCCACTACGGATCCACGAGGTTTGTGGTGGATGCCTGAGTTCAGAGAAATTCACAGTATGTAATGAAAAGATTTTTCCCACTGGAGTGACACAACATTTGTTTAATTCATAACTAGTCCACAAATAGAACATAAGCCTATAGATAGCATTTAGGTCCATCTTTGACAGTTATCACATTATGGCTTAATAACAGTCCAGGATGAACCAAAAATTATCTGATAGTTTATATCCAATTTATGGTTTAGTTGTGACTTGTTCCAGACACATTGAAAGGTTGGATGTGAGAGGGAGGAGGAGTGATTGGTTGAAGAGAGTGGTAAGATTAGTAAAGAGAGTGGCAAGAGAAAAAAAAAGCTGGCATGTAAGGTTTTAGGAAGTAGAAATGATATAAGGAGGGTGAAGTATATGGAGAGTAAAAGAGAGGTTAACTAAGTGCTAAGGGAGTGTAAAAGGAGAGCCATTAGAATGTGGGTGAGGTTCTGTCCACAAATTTTGCTGCAAATAAGAAGAGGTTTTGGAGTGAGATTAATAACCTGAGAAAGCCTGAGGAATGAATGGATTTAACAGTTAAAAAGAGGGAAGAGTTAATAGATGGGGAGGTGAAGATACTGGAATGAAGGGAATATTTTGAGAAGCTACTAAATGCTGATGAAGAGAGGCAGCAGTAATTTGACGCACTGAGCAGGGAGATATAACATCTTTTAGGAGTGAGGAAGAGCCAGATACAAGTGTGGGGAAGGTGCTTGAGGGGGTGGGTAAAATGAAAGGGAGTAAAGCAGCTGAGATTGATGGGATCAAGATAAAAATGTTAAAAGGGAGGAATACAGTTTTGGAGTAGTTGGTGGTTTTGTTCAACAAATGACTAAAAGGGTAAAAGGTAACTTGGGATTGGCAGACAGTGTGCCTAGTTCAGGGGTTCCCAACCTGGGGTGCCTGCACCCCCAGGGGGGTGCAAGATGGCATTTCAGGGGGGTGCAACAAAGAGTCCTAATAAAGAGCACAATTCCATTTATTTTACCAATTTGTGATTAAAAAATTAGAAATCTGACTTCTTCATCTTCAAATGTGATATTTAATACTTTTGCAGGAGGTGCAACAATAATCAAACATTTCCTATGGGTGCAGGGCACAGAAAAGGTTGGGAACCCCTGGCCTAGTTCCCTTGTATAAGGAAAAAAGGGCAAACGATTGTAAGAATTATAGAGGAATAAGCTCGTTGATTATACCAGATAAACTGTATGGTGTAGTATTACCATGCCTGTGGCAAGACAGTGATGGTGGAAGTGTTTCTTCTTTTTCAGTTCACCTTACCTTCATGGGAGACAGCCAGTGTGTTAGAAATAACCATTACATCACCCACTTTTTAAGCACATGCACATGCATTTACTGCACTATGATTTCTAATATTAATATTTAAAACACATAAGAAGCAGCTACTACATTACAAAACAACTAGCATGTTGTAGTACATAAACTACTGATGCCAAAACTAGCATAAACATACCAGCCAGGTTCACAAACCTTGGAGGAATATTGCGAACAAATGCAATTATATAGATGACAACTGCTGCATGACATGTCATAATGAGAGTGAAAGTGGAGGACCGTCCACCAATTTTCTGAACCCATCCTGCCAGGACTGGTCCAATTGTGCCACCAACAAATATCATACTCTCCAGGATTCCCACACGCATTGTTCGTGCATGGAAACTGCTGGCCTGTCAATACGGAATTTAATATGTGCATGTAATTAAAAATTTACTTTCCACTTGCAAAAAAAAAAAATATATATATATACGTATATATATGTATATATATATATACAGTACATGATCATTTACTTTAGGAATCATTTTACGTATTTTCTTTGCAAATCCAGCAACTTCTGCATTCTCCACTCGGATCAAGGACACAATATTCTGATCAGTTGTTTCAGGAATAATTTTATATATTTCCTTTGTATATTCATCAATTCAGCAAGTCCTGCTTTATCTGCTGAGATACAGATCTCTTCAAATTAAAGAAATGTACCAGTATCATCAATGAACATGTTAGAAGGCCATAATTTTGTCGTGTTTTCTTCAGAGAAGTACACTTGGCACGTACAAAGAGGAAGTGTGTCTGTCTTGCACAGAGCAGAAGAGGATCATGCCTCCATCATGTCTTGCTCTGAGTGACCCACATGAGTTTAGCATTCAATGTGAATTTTGTTTTTTGGCACTTGCAACGAGCCTCTCACCTCTAGCACAAAGCGAGTCTCGTGTCATCTAGGTGGTAATGTTGTGTAACCCAGTCATGCGCATTATCTAAGTAATGAACCGGGTAATGACATCATGGTACACCCTTCAATGCATGTGAATGAGAAATTTTTCCAGTAAGTATTGCAATCTCTCTTGTTAAGCTGCTGTATTTATGAATACAGCAAATGCCTTTATGTATATAACCTTCCCCTCAAGGGAGGTTTCTTGATGCTTGGTGAGGGAGTTTTGATCCGACGAACTGAACCTGTCCTCCATTTCCTTGGAATGAACCTAAATGCCTTCCATTTCCCCAGGTGTTGTATGACTTTGACTGGATTAGCACTTCCCTTATGTATTATTATTATTAATTATTATTATTACTATATTTAGCAAGAAGCTCTAAACCAATATGGGGTCATAAAGCATCTGCAGAATGGGAGGCATTCATGTTTAATCCAAGGATGGGGTAGATATGTCCAATTCCTTGAAATGAGAACCCTCACCAACATCAAGGAACCTCCCTTGAGGGGGTACATAATAATAATTATAATACCAAGTATGGCTTAACAGTAAAACCATTTATACGGAAGTAGAAACAGGAAGGCTGAAAGATTTTTATACTTCATGTGAAGCACTAAACCCACCAGTCATACATGGACAATGGAAGAGCTACTGGGAAGGGTTGAGGGAGGCCACCCTCCTCACACACACGCTTACTTCTGGTTGTAATTCTTACCATACTCATACTAGACAAGCCAAAATTTCCTCTGTTGTTTTCCTTTTCCAATATGGTACAGTAACACTGGACATTTGTCATGAAACACTGTGTTGTAACTTAACAGTCTGTGCAGCTGGAACTGAATTGTCAACACATGCCAATAATTTTTATTCTTTCCACTTTCACTCTCTTTTTGACACAGCACTACTGTTAGCTAAATCCTTAAATCCACTACTACTTAGATACATTACTATTATTAGCTAAATCCTTAAATCCAGTGATACTGTTAGCTAATCCTTAAATCCACTGCTACTGTTAGCTAAATCCTTAAATCCACTACTACTATTATTTAAATCTACAAATACTGTACTAGTGTTAGTTCAACCTACAAGCACAATACAGTATATATATGAAACAACTATATCATGTCAGAGAAGATTAGATGGTTACTTAAGGTAAATCAGGATTTCAGTGAGTGTGTGCCATTTCTAAAATCACAAGGCTACCACCTTTCAGCACAGAACATATTGTATTTCTCCAGTGCACTATCCACGAAACCACCTTTCATCCACACTGAACACCTGCAGTGAAACAGAAACCTGCATTTATTAGCTTGGTGTAAAATATATATTCTGCACCAAGCTAATAAATGTGGATGATAGCACTGCCCCCCAACCCCCCCCCCCCCCAAAAAAAGAAACAATCTCTGTCCTGTTATTTTATTAATTAAAATGCACAAATTGAAGAAATATTCTTTTATTGTATTGTACTTGAAAATGAAATGGTGAAGTGACAAAAGCAAAATATTGGATATTCTTTGGAAATAATAACAGAAATTATGCTAGGAATGGGAGTATATGGAGAAAATAGTTTTCAAGCAACAAAAAATTTCCAGCAATGTGTCTTGTTAGTAATTTTGGGTTCTTATTGTATTTAATTTTATTATTAACAGCAACAGGTATATATAAATAATCCTGTGTACTATACAATACAGGTGGGCCCAGCTGTACAACTTTGCTTTACAGCACCTCACTAATACACCAGTTTTCAATTATACCCATTCATTTATTCAGACTTCCTACAATAAATATATAGTGGAACCTCAGTTTTTGTGATTAATTCATTCCAGAAAGTCTGACAAAACCGAATTGTATGAAAACCGAAGCAATATTTTCCACAAGAAATAATGTAAATCCAATTAATGTTCCAGACACCCAAAAATATTAACAAAGAATACATTTTATAGAGAATAACTATAGTTTTACATACAGAAAACAATGAGAAATAAATACACATGTAAATAATAAGTAATAAGTAATACATATTTTATGAAAAAGAGGATAAATAAATATACAAGGTATGATATAGCACGTAATGAAAGTAGTTTGTTAGATTATGTATTGGTGGATAAAAGGTTGATGGGTAGGCTCCAGGATGTACATGTTTATAGAGGGGCAACTGATACATCGGATCATTATTTAGTTGTAGCTACAGTTAGAGTAAGAGGTAGATGGGACAAGAGGAAAATTGCAACAACAAGTAAGAGGGAGGTGAAAGTGTATAAACTAAGGGAGGAGGAAGTTCGGGTGAGATACAAGCAACTATTGGCAGAAAGGTGGGCTAGTGCAAGTATGGGTAGTGGGGGGAGGGGGGGTTGAAGAGGGTTGGAATAGTTTTGAAAATGCAGTACAATGGAACCTTGACTTACGAGTGTCCCAACTTACGAGTTTTTTGAGACGAGCCATCCCTGGGTCAATTTTTTGTTCTGAGTTACGAGCCAACATTTGAGTTACGAGCCAGCTCCCCCCTCCCTCTTCCCCCTCAACCCAAAACCTGGACACCTCTCTTGTTTATCTATGATTTCATGCTCTAATTCCATGGAAATCATTCTCTTTTTCTTCTCAGCAATAATAATAATACAGTGGACCCCCAGTTAACGATATTTTTTCACTCCAGAAGTATGTTCAGGTGCCAGTACTGACCGAATTTGTTCCCATAAGAAATATTGTGAAGTAGATTAGTCCATTTCAGACCCCCAAACATACACGTACAAACGCACTTACATAAATACACTTACATAATTGGTCACATTCGGAGGTAATCGTTATGCGGGGGTCCACTGTATAATATTATTACAGTCAAGTCACTCAGTAAGTCAGTCGTCACTCAATAAGTCAGTCATGACATTCATTCAGTCAAGTCATTCTGTAAGTCAGTCAAATCACTCAGTAAGTCAGTCAAGTCATTCAGTAAGTCAGTCAAGTCATTCAGTAAGTCAGTCAAGTCACTCAGAAAGTCAGCCAAATCATTCAGTAAGTCAAGTCATTCAGTCAAGTCAGTCAGTCATGTCACTCAGTCAAGTCACTCAGTAAATAAGAACATAAGAACGAAGGAACACTGCAGCAGGCCTACTAGCCCATGCGAGGCAGGTCTAAGTCTCCTACCGGCTTAACCCTTTCAGGGTCCAAGGCCCAAATCTGGAGTCACGCACCAGTGTCCAAGAATTTTCAAAAAAAAAATTTGTTATTTTTTCTTATGAAATCGTAGAGAATCTTTTTGTGAAGGTAATAAAACAAAAAGTACGAAATTTGGTGGAAAATTGACGAAATTATGCTCTCGCGAATTTTGATGTGTCAGCGATATTTACGAATCGGCGATTTTGCCGACTTTGACTCCCATTTTAGGCCAATTACATTATTCCAATCAACCAAATTCTTAGCTATTTCACTAGTATTACTTCTATTCTATCGATTGAGCACAAGAAATCGCCAAGTCAACTGTTTCAACTACAAAATAAAGTGATCGGAAATTGCTAATTTGGCCAATTTAACACAAAGTTCAAAATATTCCAATTTCAAAATAGGGTCCAGAATGAACAATGTAGGCATTCTTGGCACTAAACTAACATTTCCTCTGTTCATTAGTTATGTTTTGAGGCTTTACAAATAAATTCCATTTTGATTTTTTATTCACATAATGAGTTTTTATTCACACCAAAAAATAGATTTACTGTTATGCAATACTGTAATAATTGTATAAATATCATCACCATATTTGTGAATGTATATTAGACCCACCAGCTGATGTGTAATAGACGTGTGAGGTCGTTTGTTTACTCTTGAATATCGGCAAAAATTTAACATTTCTGCTACTTTGAGCTCAGTTTCAAGCCATTTCCAGTGCTAAAACCAATCAAAATCATCTCTATTTCTCTAATATGTCTTCCATTCTATCAAATGAGACCAAGAAATCGCAAATACAACTATAAAAAACATACGAAAAAACACTGCAAAGTTGCTGTTTTAATCGAAAAATGATGATTTCATTTTTTTCTCTCATTATACACAGTGTGCTGCAGGATCTGTTTTATGTGGTGCACACATACCACATAGATGTATTCTCTCATATCTAGGCCCAAATGTACCACTCACAGTTTATCAGAGTGAGCTGAGCTCATGGCGTAGATCTACGGTTTGGACCCTGAACGTAAAGCCGTAGATCTACGGGACGGACCCTGAAAGGGTTAAGCCAATACACCCAACCTAGTCAGGTCAGGTCACCTTGACTTAAGGGAGGAACACGGCAACCGACCTAATCAGGTCCAACTCACACCCACCCACACCAAGTCATTCAGTAAGTCAGTCAAGTCATTCAGTAAGTCAGCCAAATCATTCAATAAGTCAGTCAGGTCACTCAGTAAGTCAATCAAGTCACTCAGTAAGTCAGTCAAGTCATTCAGTAAGTCAGTCAAGTCACTCAGTAAGTCATTCAGTCAGTCAAGTCACTCAGTAAGTCATTCAGTCAGTCAAGTCACTCAGAAAGTCACTCAGTAAGTCAGTCAGTTACTTTAGTCAGTCATTCAGTGTCATTCAGTCAATCAGTCACACAAACTCATGTTAATCTCTTTTTCTGTGTACAAAGTAACACTTCAGTTACGGCTACAGGCTATCTCTTGTTTAATATATTTGTTAATTCTAAGACTTAAATGCTTATACCTCTTCGTGCCACTTTCGGCAACACTAGTATGGCTACTGGGTGTCATGATTGCTTGGCAGATACAAGATATAGTAATTAAAATATCATAACATAACTGGCAAACACAGCTGCCTTGTAGCAGAGAAAGACTGGACAATATGAATTACGAATGCTGGGATGGTGGACGGGGGTGTCGGGGAGTGGTAGGGGAGGGCTCCCCGGCTGCTCTACAACAAGGTGGCTGCTTGAGCAAAAGAGAAGTTTTTTTTCCTTCCCACAAACTGAACCACGTTAAATTAAATATACAACGTGTTACATAAAATTGTGCAGCAATTCTTCAATGGCGGTCTACTATATTATTATATTAGCGATAGAGCTTCAGTTCCCTAAATTAATAATAATCATAATTATAATAATAATAATGATAGAGCTTAAGTTCCCTAAATTAATAATAGCAACAATAATAATAATATAATACTACTAATAATAATATAATAATATATTATTATTATTACTATTATAGTTATAACAATAGAGCTAATAATGATAGAGCTTCAGTTCCTTAAATTAATAATAATAATAAATTGAACTTGTAAGTCAAGGTTCCACTGTATTAGAATGTGGGGCAGAAGTCTGTGGTTATAGGAGGAAAGAGGCATGATTGATGGAATGATGAAGTAAAGGGTGTGATAAATGAGAAAAAGGTAGCTTATGAGAGGTGTTTACAAAGCAGAAGTGTTATAAGAAGAGCATAGTATATGGAGAGTAAAAGAAAGGTGAAGAGAGTGATGAGAGAGTGCAAAAGGAGAGCAGATGATAGAGTGGGAGAGGCCCTGTCAAGAAATTTTAATGAAAATAAGAAAAATTTTTATAGGTAGTAGGTTGGTAGACAGCAACCGCCCAGGGAGGTACTACAGTCCTGCCAAGTGAGTGTAAAACGAAAGCCTGTAATTGTTTTACATGATGGTAGGATTGCTGGTGTCCTTTTTTCTGTCTCATGAACATGCAAGATTTCAGGTATGTCTTCCTACTTCTACTTACACTTAGGTCACACTACACATACATGTACAAGCACATATATACACACCCCTCTGGGTTTTCTGCTATTTTCTTTCTAGTTCTTGTTCTTGTTTATTTCCTCTTACCTCCATGGGGAAGTGGAGCAGCATTCTTCCTCCATAAGCTATGCGTGTTGTAAGAGGCGACTAAAATGCCGGGAGCAAGGGGCTAGTAACCTCTTCTCCTGTATATATTACTAAATGTAAAAGGAGAAACTTTCGTTTTTCCTCGGTGGGATACAGCCAGTGTGTTGAAAGGAAGAAAGAAGTAAAAATTTTGGAGTTAAACAAGTTAAGAAAGCCTAGGGAACAAATGGATTTGTCAGTTAGAAACAGAGTAGGGGAGTTAGTAGATGGGGAGATGAAGGTATTGGATAGATGGCGAGAATATTTTGAGGAACTTTTAAATGTCGACGAAGAATGAGAGGCGGTAATTTCATGTACTGGCCAGGGAGGTATATCATCTTTTAGGAGTGAAGAAGAGCAGGATGTAAGTGTGGAGGAGGTGAGTGAGGCATTACGTAGAATGAAAGGGGGTAAAGCAGCTGGAACTGACGGGACCGTGGCAGAAATGTTAAAAGCAGGGGGATATATAGTATTGGAGTGGTTGGTATTTTTGTTTAATAAATGTAGGAAAGAGAGGAAGGTACCTAGGGACTGGCGGACAGCATGTATAGTCCCTTTATATAAAGGGAAGGGGGACAAGAGAGATTGTAAAAATTATAGAGGAATAAGTTTACTGAGTATACCAGGAAAAATGTAGGGCAGGGTTATTATTGAAAGAATTAGAGGTAAGACAGAATGTAGGATTGCAGATGAACAAAGAGGTTTTAGAGTGGGTAGGGGATGTGTAGGTCAAGTATTTACATTGAAGCATATATGTGAACAGTATTTAGATAAAGGTAGGGAAGTTTTTATTGCATTTATGGATTTAGAAAAGGCATATGACAGAGTGGATAGGGAAGCAATGTGGCAGATGTTGCAAGTATATGGAATAGGTGGTAAGTTACTAAATGCTGTAAGGAGTTTTTATGAGAATAGTGAGGCTCAGGTTAGGGTGTGTAGAAGAGAGGAAGACTACTTTTTGGTAGAAGTAGGTCTTAGACAGGGATGTGTAATGTCACCATGGTTGTTTAATATATTTATAGATGGGGTTGTAAAAGAAGTAAATGCTAGGGTGTTTGGGAGAGGGGTGGGATTAAATTATGGGGAATCAAATACAAAATGGGAATTGACACAGTTACTTTTTGCTGATGATACTGTGCTTATGGGAGATTCTAAAGAAAAACTGCAAAGGTTAATGGACAAGTTTGGGAGTGTGTGTAAAGGAAGAAAGTTGAAAGTGAACATAGAAAAGAGTAAGGTGATGAGGGTATCAAATGATTTAGATAAAGAAAAATTGGATATCAAATTGGGGAGGAGGAGTATGGAAGAAGTGAATGTTTTTAGATATTTGGGAGTTGATGTGTCAGCAGATGGTTTCATGAAGGATGAGGTTAATCACAGAATTGATGAAGGAAAAAAGGCGAGTGGTGTGTTGAGGTACATGTGGAGACAAAAAAAAAACGTTATCTATGGAGGCAAAGAAGGGAATGTATGAAAGTATAGTAATACCAACACTCTTATATGGGTTTGAAGCTTGGGTTGTAATGCTGCAGCGAGGAGGTGGTTGGAGGCAGTGGAGATGTCCTATCTAAGGGCAATGTGTGGTGTAAATATTATGCAGAAAATTCGGAGTGTGGAAATTAGGAGGTGTAGAGTTAATAAAAGTATTAGTCAGAGGGCTGAAGAGGGGTTGTTGAGGTGGTTTGGTTATTTAAGAGAGAATGGATCAAAGTAGAACGACATGAAAAGCGTATAAATCTGTAGGGGAAGGAAGGCGGGGTAGGGGTCGTCCTCGAAAAGGTTGGAGGGAGGGGGTAAAGGTGGTTTTGTGGGCGAGGGGCTTGGACTTCCAGCAAGCGTGAATGAAGTGTTAGATAGGAGTGAATGGAGATGAATGGTATTTGGGACCTGATGAGCTGTTGGAGTGCGAGCAGGGTAATATTTAGTGAAGGGATTCAGGGAAACCAGTTAATTTTATATAGCCAGACTTAAGTCCTGGAAATGGGAAGTACAATGCCTGCACTTTGAAGGAGGGGTTTGGGATACTGGCAGTTTGGGGGGATATGTTGTGTATCTTTATATGTATATGCTTCTAAACTGTTGTATTCTGAGCACCTCTGCAAAAACAGTGATTATGTGTGAGTGAGGTGAAAGTGTTGAATGATGATGAAAGTATTTTCTTTTTGGGGATTTTCTTTCTTTTTGGGTCACCCTGCCTCGGTGGGAGACGGCCGGCTTGTCAAAAAAAAAAAAAAATCAGCTTTTTATGACCCAGCACAGGATGTAGCTTACCTGTGCAACATAGCTCATACATGTCATGATACATGAGGTGAAGCCTCCACATATCCCAGAGATGAATGATGCCAGGAGTATAAGAGACACTGGGATTTGAGACAGCTGGACACTCATCACAATGTACAGTAGACTTGCAAACATTGCACCTGGAGAATGTGCAAATTACAATCATTTAAACTGCATGTAATGTTTCACAATCAAGTATTAACAATACTCAAAAAATTAACAATACATGGAACATATACATGCTGAAAATGTACTGTAGTGTACCTTACCACTTACATTTGATGGTTTTCAAGAAATTTTCCTGCTTTTGAAGCCTGGCACCTGGACCAAGCTTGTCCTATGCTTGCCTGATCAAACAGGTTGTTGCTGCTGGCCCACATATCCATCACAGCCTGGCTGATGCAGCATTTGGTGAAGGTATTTGTTGAGTTACCTCTTTAAGATTTCTACATTTGTTCTAGCTGTGTTTTTGATTTCTTCTATAAGAGTGCTAAATAGTCTGGACCCATAAATGTGATATAATGTTCTCTTATTGTGCTCATGGTGCCCCTGCTTTTCACTGAGTTTATTTTACATTTTCTCTCATATCTCTCACTCCAATATGCTGTTATGGTATTGTGTACAATTGGGACTAATCCCACAAGTACATTCCACATATCTCTCTCTCCTTTGCTACAGCAAGTACAGTACATATTTAGAACTTTGAGGCATTCCTAATAATTTAAATGCTTTATTGGCCACATGTGGGCAAGAAATGATCTCTATCTTTTTAGTTCTGATCTCTCTCCTGCCCTGAACAAAGCTATCAACAGGAACAACTCTAAGCAAGAGGGCACAAGCAATTTGAATAGTGTCACCACTAAATAACGTCACCGTAAGCTCCTCTCTTCTATGTGCGGGTTATTTGTGTATAGTGTCACCACTGGCACTATTTCCCTTGTTTTAAAAGTTCTCATTATCCACCCAGTCATTTTCTAGTATTATAACCAGAATCAATTTTAAATGATGCCTGAATTCATGAGGAAAGCAAATAATGTACAACACACTAAATTATTCATGTAGTTTGTTACATATGCAAACAAGTATTGGTACTGATGTTCAGGCAAATCATCCACAGATGCAAAGGTAGGCATGAAATCAGTTTGCATGAGGAACATTATCTTGACATTCCTGTCAGACACAACAACATCTGGAGATCTTCATACAGGGAATTCTTCACTTGCCTAATCTATATGCATAAACTACTTCCACATGTAAATTTGTCCAATGTGATATTGCCTACAACTGTTGCACCTAGCCTGTCTACAGTATATAAGTCACGTCTTTGCACATATGCTGTATTCTTTTCAAGACTGATGGACTGATTACATTGACTCCAGGCTGAGGGACTGATTACCTCAAACTCCTTCCAATATTCACGATTCTTCTTTGTATAGGACTGATGAAGCCACTGTGTTGCAAAACATTTCCACAATAAAGATACCCAAGTGTTACACATGTGTCTAATTTATCAACTTGTCGGTTCTGTAAACCATTTATCTTCATTTATTATCAGTCGTAATCAATATTACAGTGGTTCTGGGGATTATCTTTTCCCCCTTATAAGTTATTCAGCAGCCTCCCAGCATACATAAGGGAAATTAACAGACCCCTGGCTGTCTTCAAAAGGAAACTTGATAAGTTCAAGTCAAATCCTAATCAGCTGAGCTGCAATTTGTACATTTTAACAAAGCTCTTGAAGTACTATTTATTATGCGGGATGTCCCAAAAGCCTGGACACAAAATATAGGCATCATATTCTTATATTTAAACACATTTCCAATGTGGGTTGAACCTTTTTCAGAGATTAAAATACTCTGATGATTCATTATGTCAGTCAAGAGATGATGCAACTGCTTCTTTCAGTGGTTGCAAGACCTCCCAAAATATCAGTAAGAAAAATTGAGGTGATGAAAGAAAATACTCAGAATGCATACCCTCAGTTCTATGTTTTCAACTTAAGAAACTCTGAAAAAACTGCACTGCACTGTACAAAAAAATAATATATTTATGAATGTTACAAATGGTATTCAGTTAGAAAAAAAGTGTACATTGTGTATTTTTTCTCACTGTTCAATACACAAATAACCTGCACACTGGAGAAACTTATATAACAATATTTCAGTCTGACTTGGACCAGAATACTGTCATTTGTGTATTGTCCCAGTCAGGGTATCGTGCCTTATTATATTCTCACTGTTCCATAATTCTGGGACACCTTGTACTATGTCTATTACTGTACTACAGTGTGAGTTATGAGTGGAAATTTTGATACTCACCTACTGGGGGTAATAGCATGGGTATTTTCCGTCCATAAGTGTCGCTCCAAGAACCAAGGAACTGAGCTGTGACAATGGATGGAACAGCTAGCATGAAGGTGGATCCTTGAACCCAGTGTGAAGAACCAGTCTGGACTGTGTCAAGAGCCAGATGATTCTCTGGGGCATATAGGTTATCACATATACTTTCGGTGTAATCCTCTAGACACACCTGTAATAATAGAATGCTAAAAGTTTCCCACTACAGAATCAATAAAACTAGTACATGAAGTGTGTAATGTATAATAAAGTATACAATCTTTACTCCAGTAATACAGGTACTGTATATAAGTACTATGTAAATTCTGTACCAGTGTGATCAAAACAAAATGGTTTCTCTTAATTTTATTATATTTTTGCCCACAAACTGCAGTCTTGCCTGGTGATCCTACATTCCATAATTTCTTCATGTGTGTCATGTTCCTACACATTCTATAATTTTATATTCTTTCAAAGACAAAGAATTTATTTGCAAACAAAAGCGAAGAAAAAAAATGGCTGTAAGGTTAGAAAGATTAAATAAATTATGCATAAGACCTATACATTTTAAGCAGTGTTTTACATATTCAACAATTTAATTAGCCTTCATGATCTCTCACCCTCCACAGATGTTCTAAAAACTCTTTCCCGCTGCACTGTAGTGCAGCACTGTATTTCCCATCTCCAGGACTCGAGTCCAGCCTGCTGGTTTCCCTGAATCCCTTCATAAATCTTACCTTGCTCACACTCCAACAGTCCTAAAAACCATCTGTTTCGATTTGCTCCTATCTAACATGCTCACACATGCTGAGCTGACAATATGTGAAAAGGCTAGGAAGTTGCATGACGATTTGAATTAGAAAAATGCCTGCAACTAGTGGTGATGCGAGTGAATTTAAGGCCAGCAAAGGTTGGTTTGAGAGATTTAAGAATCGTAGTGGCATACATAGTGTGATAAGGCATGGTGAAGCTGCCAGTTCGGACCACAAAGTGGCTGAAAAATATGTGCAGGAATTTAAGGAGTACATAGACAGTGAAGGACTGAAACCTGAACAAGTGTTTAATTGTGACAAAACAGGCCTGTTTTGGAAGAAAATGCCAAGCAGGACCTACATTACTCAGGAGGAAAAGGCACTCCCAGGACATAAGACTATGAAAGACAGGCTTACTCTGTTGATGGGTGCCAATGCTAGTGGTGATTGCAAAGTGAAGCCTTTATTGGTGTATCACTCAAACTCCCAGAGTGATCAGGAAAAACAATGTCCTCAAGGCTAATTTGTGTGTGCTGTGGAGGGCAAACAGTAAGGCATGGGTCACTAGGGACTTTTTCTATGACTGGTTACACCATGCATTTGCTCCCACTGTGAAAAATTACCTAACTGAAAAGAAATTAGACCTTAAGTGCCTCCTGGTATTAGACAATGCTCCTGGTCATCCTTCAGACATGGCAGAGCGACTTTCTGCGGAAATGAGCTTCATTAAGGTGAAGTTTTTGCCTCCTAATACCACTCCTCTCCTGCAGCCCATGGACCAGCAGGTCATTTCCAACTTCAAGAAACTGTCCACAAAAGCTATGTTTAAAAGGTGCTTTGTAGTGACCTCAGAAACTCAAGTGACTCAAAGAGAGTTTTGGATAGATCACTTTAGCATCCTCAATTGTATAAACATTATAGGTAAGGCTTGGGAGGAAGTGACTAAGAGGACCTTGAACTCTGCTTGGAAGACACTGTGGCCAGAATGTGTAGACAAAAGGGATTTTGAAGGGTTTGAGGCTAACCCTGGGAATCCTATGCCAGTTGAGGAATCCATTGTGGCATTGAGGAAGTCCTTGGGGTTGGAGGTTAGTGGGGAGGATGTGGAAGAGTTGTTGGAGGACGACAATGAAGAACTAACCACTGATGAGCTGCTAGATCATCTTCAACAGCAAGAGGCCACACCTGAGGAAACTGCTTTGGAGGAGGGGATAGAGAAATTGAGGAAGTTGCCTACTTCAAAGATTAAGGAAATGTGTGCAATGTGGCTTAAAGTGCAAACCTTTTTTGATGAAAATCACCCTCACACAGCTATTGCAAGCCATGCTGGTGGCTATTACCCTGGCAATGTTGTAAAACACTTTAGGAATGTCATAAAGGAATGGGAGGTACAGGCCTCTATGGACAGATATGTTGTGCGACAGAGGTCCAGTGACTCTCAAGCTGGTCCTAGTGGCATTAAAAGAAGAAGGGAAGTAACCCCGGAAAAGGACTTGCCACCTCAAGTCCTAATGGAAGGGGATTCCCCTTCTAAACATTAACACCATCCACGTCTCTCCTCCTCCCATCCCATCAATCATCACCAGATCTTCAATAAAGATAAGTGTCATGTAACTGTGCATGTCTTCTTCAGTTTGTGTGTATTAAAATTAATATTTCATGTGGTAAAAAAATTTTTTTCTTCATACTTTGGGGTGTCAGGAACGGATTAATTTGATTTCCATTATTTCTTATGCGGAAAATTAATTTGCCTAACGCTGAGCTCTCAGGAACGGATTAATAGCGTTAGGCGAGGGTCCACTGTACTTGGCAAGGGATTTTATGTTACTTTGTCATACATGTAAAGTAATAAAGGTGATCTGAGCAGAACAAAAATACTGTATATCAAGAACCAAAAGAGATAAAAAATATGTAAGGTAAATCTGTATAATCAAAAAATACTTAAAGCAATTTCAACAGCAAAGAGCATGTACAGTAGGAGGATCTAGGTAGATTAAAAAATAGAAGACAATAAGAACAGGCCACTGTGATTATGATAGTTAATATTCACTCAAACCAAGTACAGCCTATCCTCGCTAAACGATGGAGTTCCATTCTAAGACCACGTCGTTAAATGAATTTGTCGGAATATGAGGAGCATACTATAATGGTAGTGGGTTTGTGTCAACTATCTTTGATATTGTTTTGATGTCACCTTTGCACCATTTATAACATTTCTGGTAGTATATTTTTAAATGTTTATACAATAGTGTACTGTATATTGAAATTAACAGAATAGAAGAAATCAGCTCAGCTCTAATATACATTATTTAGGTATGAATACTGGTCAAAGAGCCTGTCATAATTCTGAGACGTCGGTAAACAAGTACGTCACTAAGTGAGGAGAGGCTGTACAGTAGGGCCCCACTTATACGGCAGGTTAGGTTCCAGGCTGTAGACGGAAAGCAGACATCGCCGGAAGGCAGAACTTCATTTTTTTCCATTTATAAATGCATATAAATGCCAGACAACAAGTTTACACTAAATTATATTAAGTAAGTAATAGAACTAGGCATTAAAAACACACAAAGTAAAATACACAGTAAATTCATTACTTATCTTAAAGTATTTGTAATCTTAATGTAGGGAGCAAGGTGAGTAGTACTTATTTGTAGGAAGTCAGGTGCAGGTAGCCCAGGTGTAGGTAGCACTGGCTCTCCGTCTCATACTTAACCCTTTGAGGGTCGACAGGCCCTCTCCGAAACTCGTTCTCAGGGTCGGCCAAATTTAAAAAAAAAAAAAAATTATTTTCTCTTATGAAAAGATAGAGAATCTTTTTCCCGATCATAAAGACACCAAAAGTTTGAAATTTGATAGAAAACTTATGGAATTATGCTCTCGCAAAGTTTGCGGTCTCGGCGATGTTTACGCATCGGCGATTTTGCCCACTTTGAGCCCCATTTTTGGACAATTTCTCTGTACTAGTCGACAAAAAACATGAATATTTCGCTAGAACTCCATTTTTTCTATCGAATGGGTGCAAAAAAACCACCCATTTATGAAATTCAACTATCCAGTACAGTGGTCAGAATTTAGCAATTTTGACAATTTCACACAAATTTCAAAAGATGCCAATTTCCGAATAGGGTCCAGAATAAACAAGAAAGACATTCCTGGCACTAAAATGACATTTCCTCTAGTCATTAGTCACGTCTCAAGGCTCCTCTTATATTCTTTTGCTTTCCACTTTGAATTTTTATTTTCACAAAAAATATAAGATTTACTGTTATGCAGACTACTGCATTAGTGTAAAAAATGGTAAAAATATTATTGGTGCACTTGTGAAAGAATATTAGACTCACCAGTTGACGTGTATTGCACGCTTGGCACGATTTGTTTACTTTTGAAGTTTGGTAAAAATCGAACATTTCTGCTACTTTGAGCTCAATTTCAAGGCACCTTTCATTGTAAAACCAGTCAAAATTTCATCTCAATTTCTGTAATATGGCTTCCATTCTATAAAATGAGACCAAGAAAACTAGAATACAACAATAAATACCATACGAAAATACACTGCAAAGTCGCTGATTTATTAAAAAAAAATGGTCAAAGTTTTTTTTTTCTCATTATGCACTGTGTGCTGCAGGATTTTTTTTAGACTGTGCACACTGACCACATAGACCCATTCTTTCATATGAAGGCCTACCAGCTTTCTCCCACTAGATTTGAGGCCGCTAGAATTTATGAGTACTAGTACGTCAAAAACCCCTACGCGTAAGGCGTACTAGTACGACCAAAACCCTCAAAGGGTTAATATACGATATTTAAAACATCCCAGAGAGGTAAAATGCACATACAGTACACTCATTATTTACCTTAAAATGTGTGTAGTCTTAATATAGGAAGAGAGGTGAGTAGTATTTATTTGTATAAAGTCAGTGTAGGTAGCCAGTAGGTGTAGCCTGAGCTACACCTACCAGCTACCTACACTGTGGCCCAGAGCCATATTATTAACATCGACATGCCTTGTTCACTGAATTTAATCATTTCTAACAACTACCTTTAGATGCCATCATAAACAAAGGCAGAAGTAATGAATAATTCATGCCAAAAATTGTAAACAAAAGCGGAGTGGGGGAGTGGCTGGGCCAAACGCAGATTCATACACGTTTTCTCTGATGGCTGAGCAGAGAAAACGTAATGTGTCCCTCCACCCGGCTCCACAAGTATTATTATCAGAGCATATAAAATATGCAATAAATGCCATACAACAAGTTTACACTAACTTATATTAAGCTAGCAATAGAAATACATTAAAAACACAATAAAAGGTAAGATACACACAGAGTACACTTATTACTTACCTTAAAATATTAATATTAATGTGTGAGAGGTGAGTGGCAGGGTGTTTATTGAATAAAATCAGAATGGCACACCATCATCCTCTAACTTGGCACTTAAAGCAAGAGGCTTACGACTTCTCCTTTTATTACAGCTAACTTTAGACGCCATCGTCAATGAGAGCCAACTAGTTAACGAAAGAGTAAACGAGAGAGAGAACGAGATACAGCGTTGAGACAATGTAAGAACACAAACTGAACAGGTAGTGGGCGATCACTTGGTCAGGCGAAATAAATGCGTATTAATGTGTGTCTACTTTTAGTTCATTCACGTCCATTTGTAAGAGTTTGTAAAACATTTACCTCAATATTTTTTTATTTTAATAATAATTACCTCACAATACAAATACTCTTACATTGTGTACAAGTTGTACAAGTTAGTTCAGACTAAACAAACAGCAACACACCATTTTTAGAGTGAATAATAATAATAATAATAATAATAATAATAATAACAATAATAATAATTATTATTATTATTATTATTAATATTATTATTATTAATAATAATAATAATTATTATTATTTATTATAAAAAGCACTAAACCCACAAGGGTCGTGAATTGCTATACATAGAGTAAAGGCATAGGAAAAGAATATTTTTCTACAGTTATCCCCCAGTGTGTGACTAGAGATAACGTAATTCTTCCGACACTACCTACACAGCTGCTTTGTAAACAAATCTCATATTTACATAAATTTTTATTATGAGTGTATGTATCATGTTTTATGCTATGTAATGGGTTTCATATATAATTTTGAGGAAAATATCATAGATGGATGAATGAAAATGCCTATATTGATGTAAAATAAGACATTTAGTGTGCCCAAGAGTGATTATTATTACAAAGTATTATCGTCATGAGTAGAGAGAGACTTAGCGATTTTAATGTGTACCTGCACACCAGCACAGTGTGAAAGTACATTTAGGTACAGGTACACATAAGTATAATTATCAGAGTACATATAAAATATGTAGTAACTTTAAAACACTTGAAATTTTGGAAAGTTTCCTGACATAATAGATGTGGTCACGGAAAATGTAAACAAACCGGGTGGGGGCGCCGTATTTAAAAGACCACTTACTGTATAGCAAATTTTGGTCATAATTTGACATCGCCGTATTAGCGGAACGCCGTAAGGCGAAACGCCATAAAGCGGGGCCTTATACTGAAGAACTGCTAAAAACTGTATACTGAAGAACTGCTAAAAAGATTCCAGGACATAAGGAAGCGGGAAGACTGCTAGGACACATCAATTATACTAGACCTATCATTAAATTTATGTTTGGATACATACTGTATTTTCTTTGCTCAAGAATTTTTTCTGAAAGCCTGAATATAAATGACACAACATATCTTTCTAGGCAACTACCATACCATACACAGCTGATGTACCAGTACAGTATTACAATCTCTCATACTGTTCTTAGTCGACTGACCTCTCTGCACAGGCATTAATATTGTGCCTTTTTTGTTATTAATATTCTGTACACACATTCTGCTTAATACAGTAGGGCCCCACTTATATGGCAAGTTAAGTTCCAGGCTACTGCCGGAAAGCAGACATCAGCAAAAAGCAGAACACCATTTTTTCCACTTATAAATGCATATAAATGCCAGACAACAAGTTTACACTAACTTATATTAAGTTAGTAATAGAACTAGGCATTAAAAAACACAATAAAAAGTAAAATACATACACAGTACATTCATTACTTACTTTAAAATATTTGCAGTCTTAATGTAGGGTAAGAAGTGAGTAGTACTTATTTGTAGGAAGTCAGGTGTAGGTAGCCCTGGCTTCCTGTCCCAAACTTAATAGTATATGATATTTAAAGCAGCCCAGAGAGATAAAATACACATACAGTACACTCATCATTTACCTTAAAATATGTGTAGTCTTAGGGGATGAGAGGTGAGAAGTATTTATTTGTAGGAAGTCAGGTGAAGGTAGCCGGTAGATGTAGGTATGTACCCCTCAAGGAAGGTTCCTTGATGCTGGTGAGGGGCTCTTGATCTAGGGAATTGGATCTGTGCTCCAGTTCCCTGAATTAAACCTGAATACCTTCCACATCCCCCCACAGGCACTGTATAATCCTATGGGTTTAGTGCTTTCCCTTGATTATAATAATAATAATAGTGTAGGTATGTAGTCTGCCTGGGCTACATACCTACACCAACCTACATAGCTACACGATATTTAATGTGACCCAGAGCCATATTATTACCATACCATGTTCACTGAGTTTAATCATTTCTAACAACTACCTTTAGATGGCATCATAAACAAAGGAAGAATGAATAATTCATGCGGAGAATTGTAAACAAAAGCATTATGTGTTAAGGGGGTGACTGGGCCAATGCAGATCCATACACGTTTTTTCTGGTCCAGCACCAGAGAAAATGTAATGTTTTCCCTCCGCCCGGCTACCACACCTCCATAGCAAATAAACATAGTATGTTTATATGCTATGTAATGTGTTTCTTATATAATTTTGAAGAAAATATCATAGATGGAGTAATGAAAATGTCTATATTAACATAAAATAAGACATTTAATGTGCCCAAGAGTAATCATTATTACATACGTATTAGTATTATTAGTATGGCATTAAGACTAGAGGGATATTCTTAGTGATTTTAATGTGTACCTGCATGCCAGCACAGTGTGTAAGTATATTTAGGTACAGGTACACATAAGTATAATTATCAGAGTACAGGAAGGCCCCACTTATACGGCGGGTTAGGTTCCAGGCTAGCGCCGTAAAGCGGAAATCGCCGTAAAGTGGAACACCCTTTTTTTCCACTTATAAATGCATACAAACACTAGATAACAAGTTTACACTAACATATATTAAGTTAGCAATAGAACCAGGCATCAAAAAACAATAAAAAGGTACAATACACACATAGTGCACTCATTACTTACCTTAAAATATTTATAGTCTTAATCTAGGGTGAGACAAGTAGTATTTATTGTAAGAAATCAAGTGTGGTATGTATTGTAATAGGCAGGCTATTTCACCAGGCCACCCCACCCACACATACTATTCTATGATATTTAAGCATCCCAGAGCGATAAAATGTATATACAGTTCACTCATTACTTACCTTAAAATATTTGTAGTCTTAATGTAGGGTCAGGAGTAAGTAAATGAGATAAAACGAATAAATGAGAGAGAGAAAGAATGAATACATGAGAGGTGACAGGCGCAGAGTTATGTAAACAAACCAGGCTCCCACATCTTATATTTATGTTTATTTATTCTATTGTGGGGTGTATTTATCATCTTTTTATGTTATGTATCGTGTTTATTATATAATTTTGAAAAAAAATATCATGGCTGGATTAATGAAAATGTGTATATTAACGTAATATACGATTTTTAATGAGACTCAGTTATTTTTATTATCCCCATTTTGGGGAAAAGTCGTTGTCACACTCACATTTGTTTTTTTATTCTTGTGGGGTGTATTTTTTTAATTTATATTTTTGCACGTTTTATTTAAAATTTTTGAAAAAAAATCATGGATGGATTAATGAAAATGGGTTATATTCCCGAAATACGAATTTAATGAGCCCCCCGTGACAAATGTTATTATGGGTCACTTGTGGAAGTCGTCTGCTCCCCGAGATCACATTTATGTTTATTTATTCTACTGTGGGGTGTATTTATTTTTTTTTTATATGTTATGTATGTGTTTATTATAAAATTTTTAAAAAAAAATATCGGGCTGGATTAATAAAAATGTGTATATTACCGTAATATACCTTTTAAATGAACTCAGTATTGTTATTATCACCACTTTGGAAGTGTCTGCTACACCTCACATTTAGGTTTTATTTTTTCTATGTGGGGTGATTTATTTATTTATTGTTATGCATGTGTTTTATTATTAATTTGAAAAATATCAGGCGGAAATGAAAATGTGTATAAAAAGTAAATATACCAATTTAATGAGACTCATATTGTTTTATCACCATTGTGGAAGTCGTCTGCTACATAGTAATTTATGTTTATTTTTTTATTTGGGGGGTGTATTATCTTATTTATATTTTTGCATGTTTTTATTAAAAATTTTGAAAAAAAAATTCATGGATGGATTAATGAAAATTGTATTTTAAACGAAATTGACATTTAAATGATTGATGTATGTAAGTTTATTTGGGTACAGGTAACATAAGTATAATTATCAGAGTAATAAAAAATGAAATAACTTTAAAAAAATTTGAAATTTTTTGGGGTTTCCAGACAAAATGGGGACTTAGTGCTTTTGAGCTTGGAGAATGTAAAAAAAACGGGTGGGGGCACGGTGCCGTATTAGAAAGTAGGTGGGGGGAGCCCTATAGTGAGTTTTGGTCATAATTTGAAATGTCGTATTAGCGGAAGCCGTAAAGTGAAACGCCGTAAAGCCGGGGCCTTCCTGTCATTAAAAAATGCAATAATTTAAAACACTTGAAATTTTGGAAAGTTTCCAGACATAAAAGGAGACATGCCACGAGAATGTAAACAAAACCCGGGGGGTGCGCCGTATTGAAAGACTGCTCCCCGTACAGAGTTTTGGTCATAAATTTCATATTTGCGGGGAATGCCGTAAGGGGAAACGCCCTAAAGCGGGGGCCCCCCACTGTAAAACAGTAACACCTTATATACTGTACAAGTATTGAGAATTTTTATCCTCAAAACCCAACCAGTTTATCCCTTTTTTTTACAAAACATTTACATCCCGTCTATAAACCATTAGTATAAATATTGTAAAAAAAAATGGCTTAAAAAGCACAAAAAAACAATTTAATTCAAAAGGGCCAAAACAAGGAAATATTGGAAAAATTTCGTAAACTTGGAGTTTTCAGGTATTTGAAGTCCTATATAGTTTTACCTATAAAAATACTGTATACATTAGTGTTTCATTAACATCTCCATCAACAACACACAAAAAAAATTATTGTTACAAAACACACATCAACTTTCTAAATGAACAATGTTCACCTTGCTGTAGATAAGATCTTGCAAGGCTGGGTGCAGCATGAATACTGCTAACATATATAGGAGGAGGACTGGCTCAACTGTAATCTTGCATGCAATCGCCATGATTCAAACAGCCTGTTGAGCAAAACTGAATATTATTATTTAATTACCCATATATTAAATAAACCACAAGATTTATGCAGCTTTCAGAAGAGATGTCCATGTAGAGGTACTGCATATAACTTTTTAAAGACAGATGGTTAGCCAGTCCCAATTACAGACAAAAGTACTTTATTTGCAGCAAACTGAGTGGCAATTTTATATATATATACCATTGATTATTTTGTCAAAGACCTTGATAAACCAGCTAAAGAACATAGTATTTGTCAGAAATGTAACAGTGTTTGTTTCAGGATATAATGTTATTGGTAAAAAAAAAAAATTATCCTTCACATAGATCGTTCCAAATTCTGGGTACTTTGATATGCATGGAGTGTTTACTCAGGCAAATATTGGTGATAAGGTTGAATATTAAATCTAGGATAAGCCAGTAAAGCCAAATACATTGATTCAAGTCTATATGTATTTCACTTATATCTTAAGTCCCAATCAGATACTACAATATTTATGCTCAAAACAAATATAATAACAGTACGAACATACAAATTATAAAGCTTTCAAATAACAAGACCTACAGCTACTTCTAATGTGAACCAAATATTCTAAATCAGATCAGTCATGACAATCTGATGAACACTCCAAGTGGTCAGAAAATAAGTTAAATAAACAAATAAATAATGTATGTACATATACATACATACATATATATATATATATTTATGTTGTGCCAAATAGGTAAAATTGGTCAATTAGCAAGAACTCATTTAAAATTAAATGAGTTCTTTCTAATGTTTTCATTTATGTTAATGTAAAAAGTAATAATTTTGTACCAAGAGAACTTTAGAAAACTTACAAGTGCAATTTAATTTAGCCTAATCGAACTAAGTATATTTTAGATAAGTTTACAATAATTCAATAATAAACAAACACAATGAAATATATTTTTTTATTACGTTCAGAATGATTTTTGCAAAATTACTGCGTACACAAATTTTTGCTTGCGTTATTCGGCAAGAAGAGTGCTTGCTATTTAAGCCAAACTTGCAAGTTTTACCTATTCAGCATGATATACATAATACATACATACATACGTACATATGTATGTAAAAACATGTTCTATCATATATAATAGCCAGGTACTAACCGTTGTATTGCTTGACAAAAGACCACAGTAGGATGTGTTTTTCAATTCACGTATCGAACAACAAAGTACCAAAGTGTCATTCAGTTGAGAGGACAATAAACCATGACAAAGTGTATTAATTGTTTGTGAACTTGAGAGGTCATGGCAGTAGTATCCTGAGTGGTGACGGTCCTGGACCAGGTCATTAGTGAAGGTCAGCCTGAGGGTCACCAGACAGGGAGGATAGTGACTTACTATGCTGTACATAAATATGAATATTAGAACACTGCAGTAGCCCTAATGGCATCTCCTAGGCAGGTCTAACTCGCACTTATTAACGACAGAGTTGGAGACGGCATGAATATATATTTCTTTGTAAAGATAAAATGAAACTTATGTAATTATACAACACAGTGACTCAAGTGGAAATAAATCACGTTTTATTTTATTTAAATAGGTATCCTAGGTTTAATCCACATATTTTACTATACAAAAACCACTCTAAAAGTTTAAATTCTATAATATATACTTTGTTAAACACTTACAATGAGACTATCTTTCTTTGTTTGTTGGGTTTATCAGGGCCACTGACTTCATGAGCCGTATCGAGCCCGACTTCCCGATGTTCATATTCATATTCATGTAGTTTATTTGGACATGATACATAATTGTACAAGGAATTATATTAGTTGGGTGTACATGCTAAAAGCCCCTTGTATGCAGAGCATTATGGGCAGGCTTAAAATTAACTTAAGATTAACAAGCAATGAAAGGTTCAGTGGTAAAAATTACCGTAACCAATTTACAATGTGAAGAACAATTGAGTATTTGAAACAATGAAATTTGAACATTTCGATAATAATAATAATAATAATAATAATAATAATATAATAATAATAATAATAATAATATAATATAATATAATAATAATAATAAATAATAATAATAATAATAATAATAATAATAATAATAATAATTTGATTTAGTACAATTACATGTACAAGGTATACAGGCCTAGCTGACAACAATGACATACTACTATACAGAAAGCCCCTTGTTATGCTCCGCATGTCGGGCAAATTAGGTCAGTGTCCCAGGATGCGACCCACACCAGTCGACTAACACCCAGGTACCCATTTTACTGATGGGGAACATAGACAATAGGTGGAAAGAAACACGCTCAATGTTTCTACTCTAGCTGGGAATCGAACCCAGGCCCTTGCCGTGTGAAGCGAGAGCGTTAACCACCAGGCCACCAAAGCCCATTGTAGTTCTGCAAATTTGTCGCATTATAATGTATAACAAACAAGATGATTTTAAGAATTAAATAATTGGGAGAATTATTGGTAGTGTTAAATATTGAGTGTTGATTATTTAATGTTGGGCGAGCAAGTATTTTTTTTTTTTTTTAGAAGAGTCTTAAATTGATTTTCAGGCCTGGTTACTTTAGTATGTTCTGGTAATGAATTCCAGATTTTGGGGTCCTTTATGTGAATAGAGTTTTTACACTGTGATATGGACACAGGGTACATCAAAAAGAGATCTGTCTTATGTTATGGTCATGTGTCCTGCTAAGGTTGGTGAGATGTTTGAGTGGAGGGTTTATGTTTGCATGTATTGTTCTATGTATGTAGTAGGCACATGATTATTATTATTATAATCAAAAAGAGTAGGCACATGAATAAGTGTGGATGTTCTTCATTGTGAGCAAATTGACTTTTGAATAGAGGTGGAGTATGCTGCCGAGAGTGGGAATTTATCATCATTCTGTTGTTAGGTAAGACACATATGCAACAGTTAGGTATCTTTATTTCGAAACGTTTCGCCTACACAGTAGGCTTCTTCAGTCGAGTACAGAAAAGCTGATACAAGCAGAAGAGACTTGAAGAACGGCTGGATTTGAGAGGGACCTGACCTCCCAACATCTGCGTTCTACTAGTGACCTACGTCTCACCTCCTGGCGCTATATAAGGTTCCCATCCTGTCAGCTTCTTCATTGTTTCAGACTATGGAACAATGCTTCTCCAGACTGAGGGACTGACCACCTAAAACTTTAAGGGTATGGACTGATTACATCGTCTTCAAGTCTCTTCTGCTTCTATCAGACTTTTCTGTACTCGACTGAAGAAGCCTACTGTGTAGGCGAAACGTTTCGAAATAAACTTATTATTATTATTTATCAAGGGAAGCGCTAAACCGGAGGATTATACAGCGCCTGGTGGGGGGGATGGAAGCATTCAGAGCTTAATTCGGGGAACTGGAGCACAGATCCAATTCCCTAAATCAAGAGCCCCTCACCAACATCAAGGAACCTTCCTTGAGGGGTTCGAAATAAAGATACCTAACTGTTGCATATGTCTTACCTAACAACCTGTCGGTATTTTATACCATTTTAATGTTCAATTATCATTCTGATTGCAGCCTCTGCTGGGTTATTAGAGGTCTTAGGTGATTTAATGTTGCTGATCCCCATGCACAAATTCCATATGTGAGATAAGGGTAGATGAGTAAGTGATACAGTGCAAGGAGAGCTGATTGTGGAGCATAGTATCGTATCTTTGGTAGTATGCCTACTGTCTTAGAGATTTTCTTGGAAATTTGTTGTACATGTGTCTGGAATTTGAGGCTACTGTCTAGGTGGATTTCTAGGAATTTTCCTTCTGTGAGTCTTGTGATTTGTTGCCCAAGGCTGGTCGATGAAAGAAAAGGAAAAAAGTTCCTTTGTAAATAGAGATAGAAACTTGAAGTTTCCAATTAGATCCGGTGGACGTCCTTGCCAAGCGCCAGCAGAGAGGGACGCCCACAACCCCAACCTGAGTTCAGTAACCGGATTCCCACCGAAGTCCGCTAAAGAATTTTCCGCAGAGCGGAAAACATGGAGCTGGCTAAAGTAAGCTGATGTACAGGTGCCCCTCCTGTAGAGTGCCCGGCGGGCAAAATAGATGAAGACAAGCATCTCAAGAGAGACTGGGGCGAGAGAGAGAGAAGACATCCACACACGACGATGGTTGGCGCAGAAGTCCCCTGAGATTTGTTTTGTTTATTTGTTTGTATGTTGGGTTTATCAGGACCAGTGACGGCTCACGCAGTCTCGAACCCAACTTCACGAGGAACGGGAAGATTCGTTGCACAAAGCTGCACCATGAAAGAAAAAGGAACAAGAGTTCCTTTGTAAATAGAAACAGGAATTAGAAGTTCCCAATTAGATCAGATGGAGCACCTTGTCAAGCCCCAGCAGAGCGGGATACCCACACGCCCACTCAAGTTCAATGACCGGCTTCCCATCAAAACTGTTAGAGAATTATCCGCAGAGCGGAAAATGGAGCTGGTTAAAAGTGAGCTACTAAGTTTGTAAGTTTATTAAGGTATACGTAAATAAAGTTACATAGATTATCATACATACCAGCTTATGTGTAAAGAATCTAGGATAACACAAAAAAGTCAAAGTGATTCATTTCCAATGGGGCTGATGACAGGTGCCCCTCCTGTAAGGTATAAGTTTATTCAGGTATACACAGTTACACTACGCGAGCAAAGTAGATGAGGACAAGTGTCCCAGAGAGAGTGGAGGAAATTTGTCGCTGATACTCAGGTGAGAGCGAGACGTCCACACCCGACTAAGGTTGGTGCAGAAATCCCCAGGAGACTGTTGTTGTTGTTGAGGCAATTACACAAATGCTCGAACTGTTATATGAAGCACAGGAAAAAAAAAATAATATCCTCTGGGGCTCTTCACAGACCTACGGAAAGCATTCCATACAGTGGACTACAATCTCTTGCACCTTAAATTAGAACATTACGAAGTCAGCGGACATTCCCTTGAATATCTAAAATCTTAGCAATAGACACCAATATGCCTACTACACAAATGACATTGCCTCAACTTCTCATCCTATAGTTGCTGGAGTGCCACAGGGTAGTATCCTTGGTCCGCTACTCTTCCTCATTAACAGCAATGACCTTCTCAACGCATCTCAACTCCTTAAACCAGTTCTATTCGCAGATGATGCTACTTGTCTCTTCTGTCACTCAAACCCGACTATGCTTAGAGGCACTGTTTACGACGAACTACTAAAAATATCTGTGTGGATGACGACCAACAAACCCACACGTAATATAGACAAAACTTCATGCTGTTTGGAAATAGAGCTATAAGTATGCAACTTAACAGTTAATTAATGGTTCCCCCCATTACATGACGCACAGAAGGTAAATATTTAGGTCTTCACCTTGACTGTAACCTTAAATTTCAGACCCATATGCAACATATATCCAAGAAAGCATCCAAAACAGTAGGCATCCTCTCCAAGATACGGTACTATGTACCCCAAACGGCACTACTCGCACTTACAGTACACAATTCTCTAATCTATCCTTACTTCACCTATGGTATTTGTGCTTGGAGATCAACCACAACCAATTACCTTAAACCATTAATAATAAAAAAAAGCTGCTGTGCAGATGGTCACAAATTCCTGCGCCAGACATCACACCTCCACCGCTCTTCAAGAGTTTGAACTTAATATAAAAAAAATCTGCACTCATATTATATAGTATATATATATATATATATATATATATATATATATATATATATATATATATATTATATATATATATATATAATGTTAGGGCTGTAACATCAGACAGGGAGACTGCCCGTCTCCAAGCTTTGAGTGCACTTCACTCTTGGAACTTCCTCCAAGCAATTCCCATTTCGGTAATGGGAACATGCCTCGACCCAATGACCCTCTGTATTGCATTGGCTCTACGCCTTGCTGCCCCAATTCACACGAAATATACGTGTATTTGCCGTGATGCGCAAGCCGACTAATATGGTCTACATGGTCTTAACTCTTCCAAAACTGAAGGTTGACATGCAAGACACAGTGAAGTCAATGACATCATAAAGAGAACCCTTGCTACAGCAGGATGCCCAGCAGAGAGAGAGAGCCCCGATCACTAGCAGCCAGCAATACCCACAACCCAGCAAACTGCCCAGATAGGATCACCATCTATCCTTGGAAGAATGGCAAGCTCTTAGCATGGGACTATACCTGTGTGTCCACACTGGTTGACACCTACATCCATCACATTGTTGGGCGACAGGGAGGAGCTGCTGACCACAGGGAGGAGTACAAGATCGCAAGTATAGGGACATAAGCCAACAGTATCAATTTGTCCCAGTGGGATCAGAGACCTTGGGATCATGGGGAAAAAAATGCCACACATTTCCTTAAAGAACTGGGTTCCAGACTCATCGACACCGGACAAGGGCAGCCACTTTCATGTTCCAGCATCACAGCAGTGGCCATCCAAAGGGAAAATGCTTGCAGCATACTTGGCTCACGTCCGGCTTCAGAGGATCTGGAAGAGATTTATAATCTTTGATATTTTGTACCAATGTATTCATGTTTGTGTTTTCTGTCAACATATTCTATCAATAAAATTTTATGTCATGTCATTCTACTTTAATCCATTCTCCCTAAATGACCAAACCACCTCAACAACCCCTCTTCAGCCCTCTGACTAATACTTCTATTAACTCCACACCTCCTAATTTCCACACTGAATTTTCTGCATAATATTTACACCACACATTGCCCTTAGACAGGACATTCTCCACTGCCTCCAACCGTCTCCTCGCTGCAGCATTTACAACCCAACCTTCACACCCAT